ACTTTTCTTATTTGTTTCAAATGAGTGTTACTTCCATTCCCGAGTAGACGACAGTGACCGATCGAGATGGACATTTCTGCAGATCCCATAGCTAAAAGATAACAAGTAGATCTACGTCCCAATGGTTTGTTAGTCGTTTCTGACAAAAATAGGTGGAGGACAAAAAAAAATGCATGCCCCGAATGTGGTCTTTTGGGCTTTGATTTTTAACTTGTGCATGACAATATAGAATTTAAATCCTTTAACTTACGTTTTTCAAAAACTGCAAAAAGCGGCACAGTAAAAAAGAATACGGACAGCAATACAGAGATGTGCATCACTAAAGTTGATAAGATTGTTATAAAGCACTGTCTTCTCGGTTGTAACCACAAGTCAACATCTGCTGGAAATTACATTGACAACGAGCCAGCATAGTTCAAGAACACGTCACACAAAATGTTTACCGACTTTTTTTCAAAGCGAAAGGATCTAGTTATATAATTTCAACTTCATGTGTGTGTGTGTGCACCATAACAAACCGGAAGTGAAAACAAACATCCAGTGCCGAAGAAAGCGCACCTGCTGTATTAGTAAACTTCCAATACCTAACGAAACAACGGATCAAATAAGCTGATGTAACACTATATTGACATTTAACAAATAGCGCTAACCCATCTCGTTGATACTATCACGTGTGTGACGTCAGAAAGACAAAAAAAGTCAGTTTTAAATACTTCTGAAATTTACAGTAAAAGGTGGTACGATAACATCTTGTTTTGAGCTTTTTTATTTGAATAATAAAGTACAATTAAACTTAGTAAAATACCAGAAATACTGAAATTATATAAGTTATTTTTAACAACACTTAACCCGCTTATAATTTCCTAGATAATTTCTAGATGCTCTGAACTAATGTCCACGTGCATCAGTATTAATTTTTCATTATAGTTTCATTCACTTCTTCATTTTCAAGGTCTGGCACCCCAGCAATTTCCGAACAATCCTCCTTCTTCAACATCATCACTCATTGAACCTGGTAACTAGTTAATAGAAATTTATCAGCAAACCTGGTAACTGGTGTAATACAATAGTGTAAATGGTAAGTGGAGTAAGATACGTGTAAAATCACAAATACAGTCTACCATACAAGTTATCGTAAGTGATGTTCAAACACGTAAGGCTTAATGACGTGGAAACTTCAAATCTTGATAAAAAAATCTTTAAAACTACTATTGTAGTTCATATTTCCTAAATCGTTCAAAAAAATGTACCTGCCTAAAATCCAATATCTTCATCCAAATCTACTATTGTAGCACTTTTTTCAAATAATTCGAAAATAAAACATATCTGTCCACAAATCAAGATATGCTTCACCTGTCCAACACATTCCAGAACTATTCTTGTGGTTCATATTTTATAAATCATTCAAAAATACGATTTATTTGTACCAAAAAATACAAGATATAAGTCATTCAAAAATACGATTTACTTGTTACCAAAAAATACAAGATATATGTCATTCAAAAATACGATTTATTTGTACCACAAAATACAAGATATGTCATTCAAAAATACGATTTACTTGTTCCAAAAAATACAAGATATATGTCATTCAAAAATACGATTTAGTTGTTCCAAAAAATACAAGATATATGTCATTCAAAAATACGATTTATTTGTACCACAAAATACAAGATATGTCATTCAAAAATACGATTTATTTGTTCCAAAAAATACAAGATATATGTCATTCAAAAATACGATTTATTTGTACCACAAAATACAAGATATAAGTCATTCAAAAATACGATTTATTTGTTCCAAAAAATACAAGATATATGTCATTCAAAAATACGATTTATTTGTACCACAAAATACAAG